GAATTGCTGCACAAATGTATGTAAAAGTGTCATCAGCGTAAAAACGGTACGCAGAATCATTTTTGCAAAGACTAGTCGCACAAATAGTGAAAAAAGGGGGCCTAATACAGAGCCCTGTGGGACACCTCATGATATCAGAGTATAGATCTTATTTATTAAGACTGATAACTAAGATAATCTGACCCATCATGTTGACCACAAACACTACGTCTTTTCCGTTAATCATGAGTAAATTCCAAAACCGGAGAGTAGAGTGCCTTGCTTTAATCTGCCATCTCTCTCATCTCTCTCATTCTCATCTCTCTCAATCTCATCTTTGCCATACCTCATTCTCATCTCTATCATTCTCATCTCTCTCATCCCTTTCATTCTCATCCCTCTCAGTCTCATCTCTCTCGTTCTCATCTCAGCCGTTTCATTCTCATCTCTGTCATTCTCACTCCTTTCATTCTCATCTCTCTCAGTCTCATCTCTCTCAGTCTCATCTCTCATCCCTTTCATTCTCATCCCTCTCTCTGAGTCATCTTTTACTACTGCAGCTGCTGACTTCAATAAATCAAATTTCATGGATTTCAAGTATAAATCTGTTTTTTTTCCAACTCCAATGTGAAACACCATTATATGCTTTTGTAGATAAAGGTAAGAGTTACCCTTTAGTAACCCGAATGACAAACATGACCAAAAAAACGGTTTTATTGATGACAAACAGTGTGTTACTGTGAGTCATACAGCGTGTCTGTAGCTCGGTTTGTAAAGCATCAGTGTTCCTTTTCTTCTCGGCTGCACAATCATCTCTAATTCTCTTTTCCCAGCAAGAGTCGTCAGCAAACAATGTGCTGCCTAGCTGCACTGAGGCTTTGGTGGACTCTGCTGTTCTGTTAGTCTTTGCTTGAGCCCCTTATTTTGTCAGCAGAGCCTTCTGTATCTGGAGCTGGAGGGTCATCTATACTTAGCCATCATCTGAGGCTTAGGGGATGATATGCAACGTTTCATTTTCTAGCGAGGGGGAAGTCCTGTCCATACTTGATGTTTACAGAGTAAATACACTGAAGAGGAAAGACAGCACTGCATTTGAAACCGCACTTCAGTTTTTCGCCTGAAGATACTTAGACTCTGCATAGATATGAGATCTACAGGAGGAATTCGCTCGAGAAACATCCCGGAGAGCTGACATTCCTGGCTAATTGGTACATCTCTGTGAAATATAATTTACCTGCAAACACCACAAGGAATTGTGCGTGTCACAGGTATTAGAGGAGTCAGACGTATTAGTGTGCCTGCCTTCAGGTTACTGAGTGAATTTAATTGTAGTCAAAGATAAGTTCCAGAGCAGAAATTTCCAAGGGGCTCTGTTTACATAATTGGTTTACATAATTTTGTTTACATTATTATATAATAAAGGCATTAGAGAGGGAGTATGGGTGCCTGTTTCGCAGTAATGAGGCAACATTTTGAACTGGGGAACAAATGAAATACAGTTATTACAAAATAAGCGGAGAAATTATAAGTTATGCTTTAAATGCGAGCAGTAAGTCCCTGAAGGCATTGGGAGGGTTTAATGGTGTTTCCACTGGGCTGAAAGAGGAACTTGGAAACAAGCCATCTGTGCTCTGAAAATGGGCTCAGTTTCCAGTCCAGAGACAGGGACAGAGACAGGGATAGGCCCACAGAGGAAGCACATACATTTGGTTTTTAAAAAAAGGAGTACAAGCATATGGTTTGGTTTAACAGCCCAGTATTTGTGATATTTTACCTTTTTGGACCAAGGTGTTTTCTACAATTTTCAAGAATAATTCATTACAATACTCTACTGTCATTATAGGCATCAACACATTTGGGTTTGGTGCAAGTGTAGTTTTGTTATTTGCTTCGTTTTAATTTGTCAATATTAAAAAGTATCTACAAAACTAGGAAATATGGTCCCATAAGCTTTGGGAAAACACAAAAGACTTGGGAGTCCTGACCCCAGGGGGCGCTCCAGGGAGTCGAGCCAAAGTACAAATCAACCAAAAACATTATTTGAGACAATAACATTAATAAAAATGTTATGTCTATAAGAGAGGTCAGTACTGCTGATGGCACACCAATCCATCAATCCACTGAATGCTTCTCTCTGGAGGCGTTTCAGACACGTCCAACTGGGAGAAGACCCCCGCCTGGGCCCAGAGCTCACTTAAGGGATTATATGACCTGACCTGGGAATGTCTTGGAACCGTGCTGGGAAGTGTTACTCTGGAAAGGGACTTTGGTTCTACTCGCTTAGACTCCTGGATACGTAGAAGAAAAATGGATTGATAGTCATTAAATTATACAGTGGAGCTGAGGTCAAACAGCTACGACACAGCCTAAAAAAACCCAAATGCACGAGTTAAGACACTCAGCTCTTCCTGTTTGTCAGACTGTGGGTTTGTTTAACTCTGCTGTGAAAACTGAGGTTTGATATGGGCTTAGATGGGATTGCTTTGGCTCTTGGAGTCTGTCTCAAGTACACACTCGAGGGACTGTAGTCCTTTGCACTTTGGCTTCATTTTATACAACAGGGGCTGCAGCTTGGGAAATATGTATCATGGAGCGATGAGGACTCAGTTTTTCAAGGTGCTTTCAAAGTAAAATGTGAAATGTTGCCATATTCTCAGCACTTCCTGGAGCTGCACACAGATTTTATCTTTTTGTACTTTTGGACAACTATGACGGGAATCTTCTCGAGTTTTATTAAAAGTGGATTTAAAGTAGAAACTGGAATTCGTCAAGTTGTAGAAAACCATCTGCTGTTTATCAATGGAAATTATCTTGACAAACCCAAACAGCCTTGATAGTCGGCCAAGGAAAAATGGTTTTGGAAAATTGGCCGGTTTAGAGAGTGAAAGATTTCAGAGTGAAAAACCAAGACAGACTTGAAAGAATGAAAAATATCCTAAATTTCTAAAGCAGAGTGAGCGCAGGGTTCTGGTTATTCTTCGGGGACCTGTCACTTCTCCTGAATTAAAATGTTCCCAGTAAAAGTGAAACAGAAATATGTTTTTTTATCAGTGCTCGCTGCTGCTTTCTAAAACTCTCCCAACCCTCAATGAAACAAATACAAATCCATGCTTTCCCTCATTTCAGTAAGATACTCTTTCATTTCAAATCAGTGGTACCGTTTTTCCTTTCAGAGAAGAAAAACCTCACGACGCCGAACAAATCAAGCAACGCGCAACACTTGCATTGGCTGAGGTGTATAAGCCAGTGGGAAATACACCCTCAAAACAAAGCAATTTCAGGAAGATCACATACCCGCAGCCGGTACCCTCTTACTAAATCTATTCAGGATGACTAGTTTTTGTTTGCTCAATTTGAAATCTTGTATGAGCCCGTGTAGTTTCTTTTAAAGCAGGAAATGTTGATTTTCCTCGGTTGTCTCACCAAACAAACTCCTGTCCCTGCCTCTCATCGGCTGCCTGTGCTCATCAATCCAGTTGAGATGTGTTCCTGTTGAATCTGGCCGCTCTGCTGAGCTGCTTTTGACCAATATTTCAGCTGGCCTGTGATTCACACCATCACAGCTTTGATTGTGTGCTGTTTACTTGGAGGTAAAAGCAGTGGTTGATACTGACAGGGAAACTTTAGATCTCCACTGCATGAAGTCTTTCCATGTCTTACTGCTTGGAGTATCTAATCTAAATGAATTCATCTGGCATCTTCAGATACGCCGCTTTAGGATATCGCAAAAAAAAATGTGGAGGAAATTTTAGTGAGGAGCCAAAGTCGACGTTAAAGCACTTTGAATCGTCTTTGCATGTTGTATTAGTATTCATACTCAAGGTAATGATCTGCACACTTCTTCCACTAAAGGGTAAACAAGCACTAACATGATGGCATGCCTTCTCTCCACCCATGTGTGTGTGTGCTCATTAGAATACATCATCTCTTACATTAATGCACTACCATGTCCGCTGTATTAAAATGCTGCCCTGTTCTCATCACCATAATTACTCTGCTGTGGATAATATATGTGTCCTTTGCCCTTTTCCTTTAGAGGGAGATGATATCATGCTTGATGTTCTGACTTTATTGGATCATGAATTTTGAGCTCTAATTGTGCATGCCATTTTTTAATTAGCAAGTTATTATAGGAAGTGGCAATGCAGATGTGCACGACACTCCTACCCCGGCCGTGGAGTTGATGTGTTTAGCACAGGCAATGACGCCTCACACGCCCTGCTCGAATACCTATTCTGGTGGGCTGGCAATGACGACACACCCTGTGCACAGCCGCTTTGGCAGGTCTGCTAATGTTCTGGCTGTTAGTAAGAGGGCTGCTGCGGCTCACTAACCCCCTAACTCACGTAAACAACTGAGAGATGAGTCAGTAAACTCTACTTTAACTCCTTTTTTTTTTTTTTACAGTTCAGCTGCAAACTATTTACTTTACACAAAAACATTTAATAAAATGAGCCTCAACTCGTAAAAAAAGCTTGCATGAGCACACTTTGAATTAAAGAGCCCTTACCAATAACAGATTTTATGAGAATCGCAGGGAACACACGCAAGGTTCAAGAAAGACATGCGATTAATTAAAATTTTGCCGCTAATTAAACGCGCAGACATAGACAATGTTTCCCAGCAGAATTTCACATCTCTTTAAACCGCCATTCATTATAACCATCCAGCGCAACAAAGAACATCATCTCCTCCAAGACCACTCAAGTAGCGAGAAAGCTGGAGATGAAAATGAGCCAAACTTCTGCATATGCAGTTCATGAGAGGCAGCCGTGTCTTTAAGTTACATTTGGTAGGAAGTTTTAATGACTTGAGATTCTACAGATGAGTCAAGGACACATTTCACCAATAAAGAAGAAGTTTTAATAAATATTCAACAAAAAATGTTCAGCAAACTGAAAACCTTTAGTTTACTGCAAATGCACAAGTGTTGGCCAATTTAACCCCTTGGTGAACAGAGGGCTCTTTCAATCTAACCCACAGAGATCTCACAGCGAGTCTGAAAGCGTGTTTCTTCAAAGCTGGATGTACTGAAGTATGTTACATGAGAGATACGGGGCCCTATTGTACACCTGCCAGGAAGTCTTTTGGCATGCTGGGCAAGTGCACCCAAGGCAATTGTCAGTTTTATCCCACTGTGCAAAAAGCAAACCAAGTTTCGCCCACATTAGCGCCGAGGGGCGTGTTGATTTTCATCCTCTCCAAGACAAATAACCCACAAATTCTCTACTGAGTTCAGGTTTGCCAAGTTGGCTTGTGAATGAAGCACAGTTATGTTTGAGTTTTGGCACTGTGGGCAGGTGTCAAGTCCCTTTTAGAAAAGAGAATAAAGCTGTAAAGCTTATCAGCAGATGGAAGATAAAGAGCCCTAAAAAATCAGGGAGATGGCTAAATTATTGCTTATTGACCAGAACTCACAGATATTAAGAGACTAAACAATATCCATTTATGCACACAGGACAAAATACACAAACAACTGAATAACAACATATTTATCAGTTAAAGCAGTGAAAGAGCCTAATGCAGACTGACTCAGTTTTAGTGCAAGGTCATGGAAGTGCAGATTCAAGTCTTGCGCACACATCCCATAAGTCATGCTGTCAAACAAGGCTGACTGGAGACAGAGCAGGAGCTTGTCAAAAGGCAAGGCGGGCAGTTGATTGAGGCCCCAGGCCACTAGGGGGCCCCCAAGGGCTGACGAACCTTAGTCCACAAAAATGTCCTAACTTATAGCAACCCCGCTGAACAACCTGGGGTCAAAGTGCAATGACATCTTAGACAGATATCCTCCAAAAGGAGCACCATGTCATCCCTGTTGCACTGAAACGTTCATCTTTACTGAAGTGTGTCGATCAAAGTAACGTCTAAATCAGCCGTGAAGTGGAGCTACTTATCAGGGTGCTGGCTATTGTGGTAAAAACATATCAGAGCTGTAACTGTTCTAGAGCAAAATTTTCAAGTTTAGTAGTAAAAATGATCATTGTTTTTGAGAAGTTTCTGTTTCAGACCTTTTCGGAAGTTTAATTTTTGTCAGAGGGGCTCTTTGAGAATTTTTGCTTGGGGCCCCAGCACACTCTAGAATCAGCTCTGACTGCAGTAGACTGACTTTTGCTATTATCCTCTCTGCAGGTTTGTGCCTTTCAAATGCACAAAAGCAGGAGGAAATATTAGTTTGAAGAAGTTCAGGTGCAAACTACAGTTGTTATCTTTAGCAACAATAACTATCTGTTTGGTTTGATAGGTTTTGGAGTCCCTGTTGTCACACAAAGAGAGCATCCCAGAGTTAAAGTCTTTGCAGCACGGCGGGCCAGTGCAGCACAGATACTTGACTCTCAGCAGTTTGAGTTTTATAATCTGCCGACCACCGCTCCTGCGGCTCGCTTTCAATCGTGTCCTTGTTGGTAGTTATGCCCAAATCATTTTGAGGTGAGGAAATTTTGTGCATGTTTGAGCTTACTTTGTATCCCTGTTAACCGGAGGTGTTCCAATAGTAGTGATGTTAACACCGGGGATGGTGTTGTGCAGACAGCGTCGGATCAAAGAAATACCCCACGACAGCTCGGAAATGTCAGGAGAAGAGCCGCAGTGGCGTTTGTCAGCCGAAAACCTGTGGAGAAGACGCCTGTCACAGTGGATTTTCAGAGACTTACAGTCAGTGGAATCAAGGGACACACAGCCCTGTTTGAAGAATGGAGCAGAAATGTCATTTCATTTCTCAGCCTGAAATAACACAGTCTTTTTTTAGCCGGAGTTTCAAAGGAAACATAGTCTGAGATAGGTGGAGGTTTTCATCTTTTTAATTACACATTAAACAAAAAAAAAAATCACTTAAATTGGATTAGTCAACACATCAGCTAACAAGACTCCGACAAGACACAACAAGAGGAAGGAGAAACAAGAAAAGAAGTCTTTCACAACAAAGGTGAAAACGTCTAATTGAGCTCTTGATTCTTATTTATCACGTCTGAATGAGTCGAAAATTGAACATTAACACTCTTTACGCCGAGCAGTGATTGCATCATTACGGAGCATAATTGTGGTAAATCATCTCAGAACTTGTCCTTTTTTTCACTACAGTCAACACATTGTATTTCAAACACTCAATAGATTAGATAAGATATGACTTAATTTATCCTTTTGGGAAGGGTCCCTAAAGAAAACTAAAATTCCAGAAGCATATTTACATCAAATTATTAATACCTCAATACTTTAATTTCACACAGCATTTATTCAGTCTAGATAGTGAATTTTCTTGAATATCTGTCCGGAAATATTGAACTTTTTCATGGTTTTGTAATTTGCTAAGTCGCACATATGGCTCACATGAGAATTGAATATTTGATTATTCGTATGAAGGACTGAAGCAAAGCTGAGAAAACAGGACACATCAGTTTTTCATTCATATTTAATTGGTTAATTATAAAGGCAGGGATGTCTATCCGCCCTAATAAGCTTTTACAGCGCTCAAGTGTGCAATAATGAGAAGTAGTGAGTGTAAATCAACATCCCCGCTTTCTCTGTTTCTGCCTCGGTTTTTTGAAATATGCAATCAACCTGAATTTCATGTTTCAGTCATTTGAATGAGACACCTGTTTCCTCTCATATTAGCCTCCGCGGCTGCATCTGTCTGCAGCTCCAACAATCGGCCCGCAGTTTAAACATCGCCGTGCTGATGGCTTCCTAATGATACATTTTACTGCAGCCCAGGCTGTAACCAGGCTGCACTCAAAGCACCGAGCGGTCTGAAATTACACATGATGAACGCTGGAGCATTTCTCTCATTTAGCTACACCATATCCAATGCAACCATCCCATGTATTATTAAACTGCTTATAGGCGAGTGCAGGGTAATATTCCCAGCCATTAGCTGTCATGACGTGAAGCTGTGCAGTTAAAATGAATACTGCGGCCCTCTCTTGTTACCATCCCTCAGGTTAGTTTCACGCCAAAGCTCTGATGTGTTTGATTATTTGTCTTTGTCGGAGAGCTGTAATTGGTTTTAGTGTTGTGCATCAAGCAACAACAGTAAAACACGCATCAGAGAGTATCCGAGGAAAATCTGGGATGATTAATCTGTGGTGTGAATTGAAAACAGAGAAACCATATCATTGTGGTAGGTGACAACGGGAATCAGCAAGGGTTGGAGGTCGGCATCACCTTGGTTCTCCTGGAATAAAACCACAGTGACTTCTTTAATTAGGATTCTTAGGTTCTTAGGTTTAGGATCGTTGCATTTAGTTTCTAAGACAACAGTGATCCGTCTCTGTGCTCTCATTGGTTAACATCACTGGCATGAGGGAACAGGTCATAGCAGGCAGAGAGAAAACCAAGCATGCTAGCCTTCAGGGATTTTTCTAGACTGTTGGGAGGTCATAAGGTGTCTGAGATGTTGTCTTGAATGTTGGTCATCATGACACTCCACATGAGCCAAAATGATCAACTGCCAGGACAGATGGATCCAAGCACTGTCAGACTGTCGGATCAGGCTAAAATCTGTCAACGGTCATGTCGTCTGACCTCTGCGTACACGGATGGCTGCTCTGCATTAACGGTTTACCCATTTCTACTGGATGTTGAAAAGAAGTCAATTGTCTAATTTTTTAGGCTTGTAAAGTCTTTAAAGGATGGCTTATTTTCAGTGCGATGAGATATTAGACTCAGGAATTCATTGGAAATACCTCCTGCTTATTATTCTAACCCCAGACTTTATCAGTTCAGCCGACCAATCAGGAGTTATCTTTGAAGCTCTCTATTAAAAGGATGCTAAAGCTCAGCCAATCAAGTCGTCAAGTTCTCCTCTCTGATGTTTTCCTATTTTAAGACCTTCACCCTCTTTTACCTGACGTCAAGTTTGGGCCGCATACACGACTTAAATACTCATAAATTTGTAATTCTGCCACACAGGAGGGAATAGGAAGCAATTTATGTTATTTTTTTCCTCCCAGAAAACTTTCTTCGCTGGAAGTTAACGCTCGAAATCACAACATTTGGACTCACAGCTGAGTTTATTATTTTTTACTCGAAACATGTCTGGAGAAGCATTTCAAACAAATTGTTAATCCTACCAGCTGCCAAGGTGCAATCTCCAATATCAATATGCAGAATATTTGATAACAGTGGAAACAGGTGCATTCCAGCACTTCAGAAACAACTTTACTTTAAGGAGAGAAAGTTTGTGTGAAAACAGAGCGTCATATACCAACATTTCTCTTTGCCTTTCCTTTTTTAAACTTTCTGTCGCTGGGATCTCGTTTCAGCCTGAACAAACATTGAAATCATTTCAGTTTCACCTGCTGTTTTTATGCGGCACTGCCACCAAACCTGTCTGATTAATGTGTTCGAAGTTTTGTTATTTAGTCATGAGTCTCGCAAACACAATGTGATTATCATTAGACAATCTGTTATTCATGTGTGATGCCAAAACAAAACTTTAAATCCTCTTACCATATGAGTCAAAGAAGTGACAAAACAGAATAAAAAATCAAATCAAAATGGGCTTTTTTTGTGATGTTTTGATGTTTCGGAGCAGATCTCTTCTGTTTTGAAATATCCCGATTTTTCTGCTATGTAGAGGGAATAACAAATAAGAAATTATAAGAACAAGCAAAAACACAAAAAGTATTTTCAGTTTGTTTTTGTTTTGACCATGAAACAGAAAATACAAAAAAGTCCCAGATTTATTTTTATATTCTTTAAAAATTTACTTTTGAAGAGCAAAAAAAAACAAAAAACACTTAAATTTTTATCAGGGTGATAAAAACTAACTGACGGACTTTTTAAATATTCAACCCAAGGAAAAAATAATCAAGACAAACCAAAAAAAGAAAAGTAAATATGTCAAGGGTTTTTTTGTTTGTTTGTTTTAAACAGAAACCCTGAGTTTCTTTTCAACTGTTTTGAGAAAAATAGAGATACACTGATTCTATATTCAACTCATAAAAGCAGAGAGGGAAAAGAAAAACCTCAAAAAATATATTTTTACTATATGAAAACAAAAAGGAAAAACAAATAAAAGATCACAAGATGTTTTTTCCATTAAAAACGAAAAAATGTATTGATTACATGATTCAATTAATGAGAAAGGGAAAAAAAAGACCCCAAAAATAAAAAGAGGGGCATCTTTTTTTATTTCTTAATTGAAGAAATAAAAAGTCGGGTTTTTTTTTCTTTTTTTACTTTTGCTTGTTGTTGGAAACAAAAGACCTGTAAGCATGTGACTATCTAAAATTATAATTAATAAAATTTTTCAACATTTCCCACATCACACAAAAGAGACAAAAATGACAAAAAGTAAAACAATTCAATGAGTCAAAAAAAATTTAAATATATATATATATATATTTAATGTAAACTGCAAAGGTTTGTTCAAGTTGTGCTTTTCAATATTACAGATGAATTACAGATTGTCCAATAATACTGTGACCAAAATGGAGCACTAATTATTTATAACAGCTTATTTTAAATGAAAATATTTTCTGTTATTTTGAAATTTGGTTGCTTATTGCTCAAGAGATCAAAACTGTGAATAAGTGAAAGAAACTGAAAAAAATATACCTGTTTCCATGAAAAACCATAATATCACAATAATCTCTAATTATATCATATTTATCTCATCTTGTAGTGAATGTAAAATTCTGTATTGATTAGAAACGACTCTTGAAAACGTCTGTTTCACTTCCTCTTCATATTGGTGACGGCTGATTTACTGATCAAACAGATTTCCCCCTTAACTAAAAACAGAGCTGAGAGGCTCAGCTGTAAATCCAGCCCCCTCCTCCTCCTCCTCTTCCTCCCCTTTCCTAACCCCTCCATTCAGAGGAAGAGACCGAGCTCATTGGGCCACTGACTCTCTGGATTCTGGAGACTTATAGTTAGCCTTTCCTGCCTCTCGACTCGATCTCTGCCACAGCTTCATTACTCGCTGACTGCAAAGGATTTCTTCTCTCTGGTGACTCATAGTATGATCACCAGCCCCTGGTAGTCAATGTTTGTGTGCGGATGTGTCATGACTTTATTGTCCTCATAGCTCATTAAAGCTCTCCTCTGAGGGATGTAATGGCAATAAACACGGCGGCAGCAGGCGAAACACAGCCTTCCCTCTGCCGACCACCGCGACGGCAGGATCGATGGTCTCTGTGGACCGGGTGATGACCACAGGGTCACTCATCACATCAGGCAGCTGATAACGTGGGAGGATGCAATTGTGGCTGCCTGAATGGGTTTTTAATTCAAGCTTTTTATTGGAAAAAGCACTGTGGTGTCGCCCTGCAGAAAGTACAGCTCGGCCCGCTTTAGATTGACCTTGGCGCACAGGGGTTCGGGTTTCTTTGTCAAATCTTTTCCAGTTCCCACAGAGAGGCTCAGGATGTACAGTAATTGTTTGCCTCCAGTGCCATGATTCACTTTCTCAGAATTCAAATTTGAGCAGAGATCCTCAGGGACCGGGAGACAGTGTGAGAGTAAGTGAACTCATAAACACTTGATGGAAACAGCACTTCGAAATTACAAACAAACAAACCCGCAGCCACGCCGGTGGTGTGGTGTGGCTGTGCTTTAACACAGAGGTGCTTGATAATACGCTTATATTTAACATGTTTAATTGTAATGATGTCTAGAAGGCACAGCTAAGGCTCATAAGAAGGTGTTTCTTAAGATTTAGTCTGAATCTGAACTATTAGACGAATTAAATCATGTTGATAACATTAGACGAAGAGTTCAGGGGTCAAAGAAGACATTACAGCACATCCTGAAGGGCACATGAATATTTTTCACATATTAAATGGTGTATAATTCATTAAGTTCTTCATCAATTGGCTGGAGAAGCTACAGGAAAAGTCGTGGTATTATCAACCACTGGGGATCATGAATATGCACCGCAGAAGTCAGAAAGCCGTCAAAGTCATGTTCATTTTCTGGTAACCTTGAAACAAAGACCTTTTTCTAGTGCTAAATTCTTTGTCACTTTAACTACAAATGTTCACCTAAAATTAAAATAGCTAAGGGATCATCCTCTGAGGAACGCAGATGTCTCAGCCAAAACTTGTTACTGAAATATTAATATCAGAAAACAGCAAACTTAAATTCTTTAGATGTGCTGAAAGAAAAGCTCAGGGATCATCTTAGTCTTTTAGGTTCATCATCTGGGGAACAAATTCTTAGTAAAAATGGGCATTAAGGAAAAGTTAGAGAATCATCAGGTGACTATAACAAACCTAGAAGATTTGTCTTTGCACTCGTCTTTGTCACCAAAAACAACAAACAGTTATGGGTGCAGCCGGAGCAGTGAATACTAGTTAGTGGATAATCCTTTGTATCTACCTTGTGAAGGGGTTAACCTCTGGGGACCATGAACATCTGAACATCTCTTTTTACTGCTGTTGTTTAATGCAGCCTGGACGTATTTTGTCTGCGTGCCTATGCATTTCTCAGAATTTTTGAATTCATCCTAAGGCAACCATGAATGTCTACAATTAATCTTATCATCTGGGGATCACGACCGTTTGAACTAAACTCTGTTGCAACTGTTTCATGCAACCAAAGGAACTGCTGATGCGGTTTAGGCATATCCAAGCATTCCTTACTATTTTCAGATCCATCCTCAGGCAACCATGACTATCTTTAATAAAACAAATGGCAGTAAAATTAAAGTAAAATCAATACAGTATAGGGAAACATATAGAAATTTGGAAGTCTGGGACCGAGCGCTGTGCCAACACAGTCCTTAAGCCGTGCCACCTGTGTGGTTCGGAACCATCTGCAGGCCATGATAATCTTATTCCCTGAGTAAGGCTGGGGGATAAGATTATCCAAGACTTAAAAAGCTTGTGGGAAACACTGCCCAGATCTGTTATTAGCACACTGTCACTGTTCATTCCATCAGCATGCACAGAACGAAATACCTGGTGGAAAAGTGTAGAAGTTACATCATAATGTAGCATAATGTGATAAACACTATTATTATAAAAAGAACAAACACAGCAGGACAGGTAAGTGGGTTCTTTCTGCAGCCTCAGATTTAGGAAGGCATGAGAGCGCAGAGGATTTCATTATTCATTGTGGCCTATTTTGTTTATCCTTTATGAAATTATAGACTCGGGAAGTACGCTCAAAAATGCACATGCTTTTAAAAACAGAACGAAACTGGAACATTTTGAGACGGCCGAGTTTAGAAACACCGTCAGCTGTTCACTGTCACCGCTGCCTGGGAGGTGAGGACGTCCTGCGGGTCCGAGAGGACATTTTGAACTTGAGGACATATGTGTTATGTCACCTGAGAGCTGAGCTGTAAATGAATATGCACAGAGATGCAGGCAGGCGGGCTCACGTTATATAGAAGAGAGAACTCTTTGTCTCTTTGATGCAGACACGCTCTCGAATACACTCAGCCATCACGACATGAAACATGAAGATACCTGCTGCTGGATGATAAGCAGGAGTGAATGCACATTTTAAATACCACATGGAAATTACAGTATGAAAGTCACTATCCTTTGATATACCTTTGAAGCTCTTCTTTGGCATACATGTGTACAGTACATGTGCTTTAACAACGATAATCTTCGCAAACGGCAGGAAAGGATGAAAAAAGGGCCAAAAGAGGAGGTGAGGAACACCAGTTTTGCAGTGTAAACAGCCACAGGTGGAGTAGTTCTTCTCACTTTTTAGGAAGTCTTCTGTCTAACATCTCAGAGGCAATGGGGGAAACTATCTCTCTGTACATTAAATGACTCCAGTCTCAATTATCTGAGGTGATTAGACACTGTAAAAGGCTTCCCTAACGCAGTCATTATGGTACATTCAAATTCAATCAACCAGCAGGCAAAGGCTATTACAGCCAGCGTGGATTTTGACTACTGATTATATGCTTTGATGACTTCAAACCCCAGTGCCCGCACAATACTTCACACGACTGAAAGGAGGAAATCCACCTTTCAGAGCCATTAATCTCTTGTACCGGCTCCTTTTTCACCTCGAAGGTCAAATATCAGTCATCAACCTTCAGCTTTGTGAAAAAGGCCTGCAGGAGACGGTGTGCTTTTCGCCTATGGATGAAGCCAGCGAGAGCTCTTTTCATATCATTGCATCTGCAGGCGAGCTTGGACATTTTCTGCCAGACTGGGTGCTCGGCTCTGAATTAGAAATCAGGGGACCAAAACAACAGAAATATTGGACTTGAGACTAACCATCAGTGCTTAATCACTATTTTTTCCTGTGTACAGCCAGAGACATCTTTGATCACCAGGTCTCAGAAACAGGTATTTAGCATAGCGAATAAAGGTTGAATTGTTCGGACGGGGCTTGACACTAACTTTCTTCATAAGGAGCACATGTGCTCCGAAGTTGAAAAAGTAAGGAGCACACAAAGAACTTTAGTGGTACAATGAAAATTGATCAAATAATGTATGTCTTATTGGTCGACATAAGTACTATTATTTGAAATCAATTTTAGGACTTTTGATTACATGAATTGGAAGCTATTGAAGAAAATGTTCAAAATTTAACACAGAAATTTTTAGAGGACAAATTAGGGAAATAAAGAAGTGTGTCTCATTGTCCGACCTTAGTACTATTATTTTAAATCAATTTTAGGTAAATTGGTCACATGACGTGGAAGCTATTGAAGGAAAACAGCCTTTTCTGAGAACATCAACCAGTAATATATTGATGGTCCCTTATTCAACACCCAATGTTAACAGCGATTAAGGCGTGCTGCTCTTGCTATTCCTAGTTATGGAAGGTGAGAAGACACCGGTACATCTGCAGTGAATGTCTGTCAAATATCCAACCTAAAACTAACTTCACCGCAGGATTTACATGAAAAATATATAATATTATAATATAAATAACACACATCTATTTTTAGTCTCAAATGCAAGTGAAACGGTCGCACTGTCGAGCCCTGTAGGATGAATGTTGTTACCAAGCAGGAGCACAAGAATAGAAAATAAAAGTGGGCCCAAAATTGATCCTTGGGGAACACCACAGATGATATGAGTTAAGGAGAAAGGTCTGTAGCCCTGGCACCCGGAACCAGCTTTGACAGTGTATAGTTATAATCAACATGTGTGCTGTTTAAAAAACCCTCCTGATGCACTTGAATCTAAATTCTCCATCTGCAGTGAGGCTGAATTTTACCTCTTTATTTTGTAGTATACTTGCTAAACCCATCACGCTTTATTCCTACATTAAAAAGATTAGAGCTCCACAATCTGAAACTGTGTCAATTACATTCAGATCTAATCAAGAAAAGAAGTTCGAGGCTACCTCATTTGAGTTGATAACCTTCTTGAAAAAAGCCGAAGACGAAGCTTTTATCGGCCACATCTACTACACGCTTCCTCTGGAACTCAAACGCCCTCCTTTGTCTTTGAAGTGCTAACAGACGTAGGTTTTAGTAATAAAGGAATTTCATGCTAATTTAAAATAACTCTCGTCCTCGTCTGCAGAACCGGAAGGTTATTTGAGGCTGAGTGTGAGAGAAAAAGAACAAAAACAAAAGGGGAAATCAGCTGTGAGAGTGCAGCATAAGCACAAAACTCTCCGACCGCTGTTGAATTTGCTCAATCAATACCATTTGCAAGATACAGTCGCAAAAAGCTTGAAGAATCAATCAAATAAGAAGAAGTGGGCGATGAGTTTTTGCAAAATTGTGTGCACCCTAATCTTATGTAATCTATGCTGCATTGCTCCTCAGAGGTTCTCTTTATCCCTGGCTTTAGCGGGCCCCTATCTTGTTGTCGGAATCACATGGAAACAGGGAACAGAGTGCACTCCGCTAATCCCGTTTTTGCATTTAATTACCCACCACTCCAGAATGCTCGCTGCGCCCCGGCTGCAGAACTGTTTCCAGGAAAAAAAAAAAAAAAACAGGAAGTCGAACACCACTCAGCAGCACGCTCTCCCCAAGGGAGCAGGGCTTGGTTGAGCAATTGTTCACACTCCTCACATACGTGTCACATTAGCATATCTGGCTGCCTGCACAGACATTAAATGCAGGTGAAGCACATCCAGGGTATTATCACTTTGTTTATAACACAAAAGCCACTGTGTGCATGCTCTTCCCCACATTTCATTTCCCGCAGACAACATCAGGAGACATGCTTTGAATACTCCTGCTTTTAATTGCCTGCTAGGATCCTCGATTGTGACCCATAATCTCTGTTCTCACCTGCTTGTAAGCCATTTTTCCTTTTGTGGTCTTGTATATAGATGTGCTGTTTTGCTCTTGCTAGTCAAAGTGTTTTCGGAGCAGTGCCCGCACAATGAACACAGATGTTTACGAGCCGGAGTATCATGCTAATTTCAACGGCGAGTCAATGAAACCGAATGAGTGATGAATGGTCCCGATGCTGTTGTGTGGTCTTGTTAAAGACTATATCTAACAGCCTTTCATTAGGGAGCACAAAACACCAATAATTACAGCATTATTCCAAAACAGCAGGGTGTCCTGGTAAATATACCTCTGTGGAGAACCATGTGCATGACAGTGCAAGGCTGTGATAGTTAACATGAAAAGGGACAAAGATGGGAAATTTAAAAGCGAACAGAAACCCAATTTGGCTTAACGAGTAGGGATGCGGGCCGCTTCTCGTTTCACCGTCTCGACCTTGAACACCTCACAGTGTCATTATGTGTCACTTGATTAGTTAAATAGCTTTTATCCTGCTCATTTTGACACCGACTTCAACACTGGATTGTGGTTTTAAGCTCACAGGACTTGCCCTAAAGTCAGTTTGTGCTGACCTCTGCTACTTCAGAGTAAATGGAGTTGTTTTTAGTCAAAGACGGTCAAAAGTCCTGCTTTTTAACTTATTATGTAGCAAAGTGCTGATGTTTTTGGCGACGGAGGTTACGTTCCCCACTTTGCAAGAAATTATTTTGCAATATAATCTGCATTTGGCTTCATCTGTTCATCTCTTCAATTAATCATTGATGCTTTAAATCACATCACCAACAAATTAACCAGATGTGAAAATGCACAGGAAGCTCATTTCATCTCTAAAAACTGCAAAATAAAAGTTTGAAAAACAAACTTGAAGTGTAAAGAAGGGGAAGTGGTGCATTATTTGTGCTTCATATATAAATAGAAAATAATAAATACATAAAAAAGACAGAAAAGGTAACTAATAAAAGACTGAAATAATGCAGGTGATAATAAAATACTTAAAAGCAATAAGAAATGTCGGATCAAATCAAAAGATGAGCTAAAAACAATAAACGACAAATGTCTGTGTGAGACCATTTGAATGAACACTAGGCCTGTCGCGATAATCAATAAATCGCCTTATCGCTCGATAAATAAAAACGAGGTCGATAACTTTGCCAGCCTCGATAATTGACGTGCGTTTGTTTTCCTCCTCTCTCGCTACCAAACACGCTGGATGAGAGAAGAGGTCTCACTCTGCGCATTGTTCTCGGCACCTGGGGGCGTTGGTTCTATAGCGGAATGAACGGAGTTAGTGAACCCTCCTGTCAGTCATTCAGTGTCTTTGTCACGAGGGGGCTGGCGCGCGCACAGGCACACAGACACAGACTTTTTGGATACAGTGCTGCAAGTGAGCGTCGTGAGTGAAAAGCAAGCAAACAGAGTGAACACGACAGCTTTGGTGTCTAAACCGAACGCAACAGCCCAAGTGTGGGAATATTTCGGCTTTAAACCAGTTTTGTTTTCGTCAAGCACAAAACTCCACGTGTGTGTGTGTGTGCGCGCGCGCGTGCGTGTGTGTCTGTGTGTTAGAGGAGCACAGCAGGCTGATGAGAGCTGTCAGAGCGGACTGAAGCTGCTTCTATATGTTTAGCGTTTAACTGACTGAGTTTTGCAACTCTGTTCGTCATTTTCATCTCGTCCCATCAACGTAAACGCACTTTCGTCTCGTCACATTTTAGTCATCTCCGACTTATGTTTAGCTCGTCAACGTTACGTCTTCGTCGTGGGAGAAAAGGGAAATATTTTAGTCAACGAAAACAACCAGTGTTGTTCTCGTGTGGAAATTAAAGTTTATCACTTTTGACATGGTGTACTCGCATTATTATGCCATATAATATCATTATCTATAATTTAAAAAATGGTGTCAATAATATCGTTTATCGGCGATAATTTGTAGCACAATTATCGTCCAGCAAAATTTGTTATCGTGACAGGCCTAATGAACACAAATGAAGAGCTAGGCTGAGCTCCTCCTGAGATTTAAAACCAGGTAAAAAACATTTTAGATCGGCCCCAAAAGAGGGTTGTTTGATCCGTTTTCTTTCTACGCATTAAGACTCCAGCAACTAAACCATAAAACAACCCAATCACAGAGCCAACAGAGTGAAGAGCGGCACTCATCCTGAGACGGTTTTTAATTCAGGGCAACATCCGAGGGAAGAAATAGGCTCCGGTTCCTGCTCGCTTGTTTAAACACAAACTAATGCGGGTTAGTGCCAATATATAAAGAGAAACATCCTTTTTCTGCAACCTCAAAACCAACAGACATTCACAATGTTAGCCGAGCGATAAGTGTATTTACAAATCACAACAGCAGCAGCGGCGGCAGCAGTCAGAACAGACCAACGACTGAAAGCTTGGAGCATCTAATTAGCGGTGACACCTCTAAACACTCAGGTTGTGTGATAGCATGCTGATTAGCACACCGTCGACATGGCTGCAGACGGGCTCTTCTCCTCCCGCTGTGCTACCTCGCTTTGACACTAACCTGATAATGCGATGAGTCATTCATTCATTCACTCATTCATTCATCCACCGCGCCTGCTAACACATGTAAACATGAGGACACTGCGGCTTGCAGCTTCCTCCGCACTTCGTCAGGTTTCTCTCAGGTTAATCCACGCAGGGTTTCTTTGTTGTGGAGGAGCTACAGGCTTGTAATAGGATCTGTGAGAGCATCTGGATGTGCAGCAACAGTCTGAGCTGTTAACTTGTATGAAACACGGCGAACGTCTGCAAATCGTCTTAATGGATAAAGCTGGATAAAGAAGGGGATAACATTCGCTCTTAATGCACGACTTGAAAGTGAAATTAAATTGCAGTATTTGATATGACATTCAGAAAGGAAATCCCAGCCTTTGATATTTCTTTAAGTCTTTTACATCACTCTGTGGTGTTAAATGAAATCCAGTGCTTACTGTGTTTTGGGATACAGAGAACAAAGTGTACACTGTCAGCTCCTTTTCAGAGCAGAATCAGCGAATATGAGCTTGATCAGAGTCCCTGTGCTTCAAAATCACTCACCCCCATCTTCTACTTTTCAGCATTAAAATTATCATATATATTGTCAATCATGTGGCTATACTGCAATTTCAATTAATTGGCTCCTTAAGAAATCAGTTGAAAAAAAAGTCAAAGTATTTGTCCAAAGCAGTTAACCAGAGCAGAGCTCGCACCACAAGCCTTTGGTCCTCACTGCAGCTTAACGATCAGATGTCTCTGCTGGTTAAGCATTGCTTACAGACTCATCATCTACGTTGGGCTGGGCGATAAAACGATAATGAGATATATCAAAAATTAATTTCCCTTGCTATCGATATGAAACATGGCAGAATGCTTTTCAATAGTTGTCATTCTGCCATGTTTTGGTAGACTGTACGAATAGCCAATGAAAAGGGGAGTTGCTCCGGGTCCACACTGAACCAATCATCTGCTAAATTAGAACCAAGTAGCAAACAACTGCATCATAGTAGGCTGCAGCTACATGCAACCATAGCACTTTAACAAGTGAAGCCGACAGCAAGAAAATGAGTGCTACCCCCCCGCAGAAATACAAATGAAGGCTTAACAGATGACCACATCGTCGACAAGACTGGCTTGAGAATTTTGAGGGGTGGAGGTATTTTGCTTTTTTTTTTAGGTCGGACATGAAGCAGAGTAATGTGCAAGTTATGTCGAGTACATGTTCTCACAAAGTCAGTTAGAGTAACAAGGAACATTTAAGATTGATCAGTGATTTTTTTATATTGTGATATCTATCGATATCAACTGATATGAAAAAATATATCGTGATAAACTTTTTCCCATATCACCCAGCCCTACTTCTACTTAATTCTCTCTGCAGCTACAGACTCAGTGATGCTAAGTCTTCTACAAGGATCTGCAATTTCTGATATAGAGAAAATGTGCAGAGGTGTTCAGAGCTGTCCTTTAAGTGCCAAAATCTAAACTAATGTTACTTTCTTCCCTTCCTACTTCAAGCAGGCTTTGCGTTGCATTCTGGACTTTCCTGGCTTTTGTCTCCTCCTCCAATCCTCCTACTCCTCCTTCCTCGGCAGGATACAAAACAAAGACAGAGAGATGATTTAAACTGAACGCAAAGCTTTTTCATCTCAGAGTGATTTAGTCAAAGTTATTCCTGACTTTTCTGCAAAAATGTGTCGGTGTACAAAAACAGAAGAAAGTGAATTGTTCAAAAATGATGTTTAATCCTCGGAGCGTCTGAACGCACACACAGACGTTTCTTCTCTTGTTAAACAAAAACAGAAAATCTGTAGTTCAGGTTCCTTCTCACACCTCCAGCTTTTCACAGCATGCATTTGATCCCATCCTCTGTGTGTGTTTAGGCGGCTGTGTTGCTATGGATTCCTGCAAAGTGAGGAGTGAAGACCTGCATGCATAAGACACACTTAAAGAGGACCTATGCATGCACACAGGCTAACAACATTGACAGCAAACACACACAGACACACACACACACACACAGGGAAGCCAAATGTTAAAAAGAAGCTCTGCCTAAAGGCTAAAAGTTAAAACTGGAGGTGTGTTGTACCTGCTTTGATTGATGGAAACAACCTTCAAGGTTTACAAGGCATGAAAAATACAGCTGCAGCTGTAACTTTTACGTCAGCTGTAACACGGTTTGTGTGAAATATTTGATTATACTGGTAAATACATTAAACTCGTGCCTTCTCAGCAGATGGACCTGATGTCTAACAGATCTGGGATGCAAAGGTGCTAAAAGAAAAGTATATTGAGCTTTGGTCATAAAATAAAGATTGCACAAGTAGCTTAAGTTGCAAAAGTAGGAAGTTTCCAAAAGACTAGAAATTAACTGCAAGAGTGATAAAACCCAACAGTTTATGTAGTTTTATGTCATTTAAAGCAGGAGAACAACATTTAGTATCTACAGTATGTTTTTGTAGCCCCGCAGCGATGTGCAAACAGACACGTCACCAAACTATAAACCCAGGACTGAGTCTCAAGTCCTCAAAGTCTGAGCAGAGGGAAGAGAGTCCAAGTCAGGTCCACATTACCCGAGTCAAGTGTTCGGCTCCCACAATGAAAAAGTCAAACTCATGATTTTTGGGCTCTTCAGGCATCCTTACAGCTGTAACTGAACTGACAAATGTGCATGCAGGTGAATGAGCATGTTAGCTGCTGGAAACAGAATAAATAAGAATAAAAAAAATGATAAAATGAAGCTTATTATAAAAGAAATGTCTTAAATTTTCAGGATTAAAGCTGTAATTTTATAGCGTTAGAGTTGCAGGCTTTGTGTGTCAGGATTATGACTCATCTCGTGACGTTCAGCAGAATAACAGAGGAACAAAATGTTTGCAGGAGCGATCTCAGGCTGCGTGTTAGCTCGCACTTCTTTATAACTGAGATGAATATTTCTATAAAGACCTGTCAAGGCAGAGATACTCACACATTTCTATACCTTCCAATCTCGATTTAATAACCGCATTGATCACAGCAGCACCTGCTCGTGAACATGAAGCCGTGCATACATATTTAGCAGCTCTGCAGCCCCTCTATCCTTACAGCTTGTGTACATTTAATATGTGCTCCGTTTCTGAACTAGACTCCTGTAAAATTCCAGACCGGGGTCATCGAGGCCCCGCAACCCGCTGACATTTACAACGTAATTATGCTTTAGATGGATAATGGCTTATTTACAAAACCCAGTCATTGGCAGGGTCACGTTCCTTCCAGATAAAGCAATTTGCTTTGATAGACCCTCAGAAGCTACTTGCGCATGCAAATGGCAACATTCATTAATATGTGGCTGCTCTCTGCGTGGCAGAGAGGCCATTACCAGAAGACACTGGGTACCATTACCAGACACAAGAAAGTGAGATGGATAGACTTTTCTCTCCACACTATCTGTGCTTGATTGTATTAATTCGGGTGCTCGCCTGGGGGAGTGGTGTGTGTTTTTCTAACAACCCCCTCCAAGTTGGTAATTGGCGAGGACATCCACTGCAGGAGAGTTTTATTTCTCCTGGACTGTGGCGTCTGAAGTGAGCAGGCAGAAAGGAGCAGCGACTAGTGAGCAGCACGTGATGCGAGCACACACAGTCAGCGTTGTTGACATGAGCTGAGTTGTCCCCCCGCCCCCTCTCCCCAAGACTCAATGACTCATTAATCATGGTGGGTGCTGAAAGAAGCTTGACAGGCAACTCAGAGTGTGTGCACGCAGAATCAACAGCATAATGACGTGGATTGTCCCTGTGTGCTCTGGTTGATAATGTAGGAAAGGATGTCCTCGCACGCTTACATCGACTTAATGATATCAGTGTCAACCTCATGTTGACATCGGTGTCACTACCTATGTGACTGTATGATTACCATCTTATAGCCTGAATCTAAACGAGGTGACACATGGTCCTGAGTCATGGCGTCCATGACTGGGGACGTCCATGTTTGAGGTTTTTGGCGGAGACAGTGAAGCCCATCAGCAAAAAGTAGAAAACAAATTTAGCATCATGGGCGTCATCGGAGGACACCTACAAACAAAATAGACACGCAACACGATGCTTTCACATTGTTGACCAAATATGGTCGTTCCTGGTTACAAGAACACTATAGCAGTCAGTTATACACTTAAATGAAGATATGAATGGGCTGAAGTGTTAAAAAGGACCGTTTTAGGCCACACCAGCTGTACTGACAGGATCAGCACCTTGGACAGCGCCGCAAACACAACCATGACAGCTCCTTATGTGTTTCCACTTCAGGATCGTGAGTAGCTCCTTAAATTTAATTCAGTTGTGGATTTTTATCCAGATTACCTCTAAAAAGAAGGAGGAAGGCTCGCCACCACACACAAACAAACCCACCCACTATATTCCTTTTAATTAAACCGCTGAACTTGTGGCACAAAAGCAGAGGCTCCACTGGGAATACACAGTCATATCTCGCATAAATTTAAAAGTAATACGACTGATTTCAACCCAAATTCAAGAAAAAAGTTTGGAAACTTTGTTAAAAGGTAATTAGAATCATGGTTTCTTTCAGTTTCAACCACATCATTGGTTGAAACTGAATTAAATGATTTATAAAGTTGGATCTGAAGCATGTTTATGGAGACATTTCCATGCTAAAATATACACTTGTGGTTTTTTGTGTGTGTTTTTGTTGATAGATTATAAACTTTATTCGGGTTTTGATGTTACCCCATGAAAAACAAACAAAACAAACATATCAGGTTTCACAAGTCCCATATTGTTTGTCGCCCCGGGTCTCCATAATCCGTCATGCTGCCATGTTGCAGGTTTTAGGTGTGCCATAACAAATGTGACTGCCGCCTCTGTAACTGCAGTTAAACATGATGGAGCGTTTGCTCTCTTTGCTGTAATTTACTTTCTCTGATGTTCGTACCAATTAACAGACATTAATCACAGTTGAGTTTGACCTTGGTTGATGTAGTCAATGTCATCCTCCCGGCAGGTGTGAGCAGGTGTTCGGTACGACATGGTTACATTAATCCTGTAATGGCAAAACTGTATTTAAACTTGGCAGAGAGGACTGACGCTCGCTTTGAGGTAATGGTGTGACCATTTATGTTGAACCTGAATGATGTATTTGAAACACGTCCAAACAGCTGAGTCTGAAGTCTCCTCTGAGGTAAAGAATTAGATTATTTATCGATATGTAATGGACAAGACTGAAGTGAATGAGCAAAACGAGCTTGAAATTCAGAGAATCTTATCTGGACCTGAGGACAAGTCTCTTGGACCCATATTATAAAACCAAATCTAAGTCTGCTAATCTGATTTTTTGGGGTGAAAAAAACTCAGTTTTACAAAAAAAATAAAGGTTCTTCCCCATAAGAATGCCTCCATGCATTTTATTTATTTGTTGTAATTTTTTTTTGCCAATTTCTGTGATCACACTTGTCTATATTTCTCCTACAGCGTTAACCTTACCTACTTTCATCTTTTCTCTTTATGTCACAGTGAGCGGTTTGCACACGTACACAACGTTCGCCGAGATGCTGAAATTAGTTAGCAGCCGCGGATGTCACGTTAAATGACGTCTCCATAGCAACAGACAGAGCTATAAAATTAAACTGCTAAAGTTACCCGCAGACACACTTAAAACCTGCTGGCTGTGACAGAGCTTCAAACGCCCACACTCAATCTAAAGGCTAAAAAAAAGAAAAACAGCCAATCAAGGTCACCACTCAACAGTCAGGAAACTGGAACTGGACAATATATGCAGGTTTTGGAGCGAAACACGACAACGCCATCCAGACAACGTTTTCATATTTCTAAAAGATGTTATGCTAAACCACATTCTGCACATTCAGCTCTGCAGTAGAAGAGTCCTGGTGCTTAATTTGCCTGCTGTCCCAACAAAACCCTGAATTGTTGAAACCCTACACTTGTTTTAGGAGTGGGTGGAAGAAAAACATCCCTTTCAAAACTCCAGGTACTGGTCTCCTGGGTTTTAAAGTGTTTACAGAGCGCTGTTAAAAAAAGAAAAAGTGATGCAACATGACAGCAAACATGCCCCTGACTCAGCTATTCTGAAACATCCCTTTAAATGACCTGGATCTGTTGTCTTTACACTGTTTTACAGTCAATGCAGCCAAGTTTTCTTCTCTATATTTTGCACAGTATACAAATATATCTGGAAATGTTAGGTGCAGCAGTGTTTGCCCTTTCCTGCTCTTGCACAGCAGTCTCCTCCATTCTGTACTGCATAGCAGGGTATACTGTACTGTACGTCTGTGTTCTCAAAGGACTGTGCAGGTAGGAAGTCAGACAGCTTTAGCTTTGGAGGTGGGGTGATAGAGGAGACAGACGAGGGGGTGGGGGGGGTTTATATATGTGTGTGTGTGTATGTGAGAGAGATGGAGGGAGTACTTAAGAGAACATGAGAGACAAGCTGACATGAGAGGAGGTAGAACAGACAGGTAAGACCGAGAATGGATCGTGATGGAAAAGGAAAGGGACAAAAAAAATAAGAGCCTGCAAAGCCGCGGGGAATATATAAGAGGTGGTCAGGAAAGGGGGGGAAATAATAATGGGGAAAAATGTTGTGTAATTTCAAGGGAGGTCAGTGAAGCAGTGGTTATATATAGCCAGTCTTTTGGTGGTGAGAGAAAAAAGGAGATGACAAAAAAGGAGGAGACATGAGAGGAGAAAAAAACAAGAGCAGAGCGAGAGAGTTCAGGGAGGCAGCTGAGACAGAAAAAAAAAAAAATAGGTGTTTTGGGGGAGATCACAGCGCCAGACCTTGTCACAGGCAGCCAGTGTGCAGATGTTACAATGTACAAAAGGTCCCAGTTGCCCATGATCTCCAACAGCTTGACTGCGGCTGCCAGAGCTCTCTGTGGAGTGGTCAGGTGGGCGAGAGATAGATATAATAAGATGGGCTATTGTGTGTGGATGGGGCCGCGGCGAGCCAGGGCACTAAAGGTCTAATGAGGCATCGTGTTCCTACAATCACACATAAATACAATACAATGTGGCCACCTGATCGCTGCTGCCGCTCGTCCGGCAGAAATTGAACAGCCTGTCGGAAATAATGGAGTGTGAGAACCTCTGGCCCGGGATATAAATAACGATAGTGTGGAAATAATCTAAAAACACAGACAGATGTAACTACTACTTCCTTGGCTGTCTGTGTTTTTCGCTGCATTGTTTTGCTTCTGCAGGGTTGGCTGACACAGTAGTTGCTGGGGGAGACAGAGAAAGTCTTCGTTGATTGGTTTCCGGAATTGCATTTTTAATCTAAAAAAAAAATCACCACCCAAAGCTGGGCTAAACTACCATGTGGGTCACTGCAAAGGTGGCAAAAACAGGTGGTATCAAGGAGAGCTACACATCCGCATGGAAACTGCACACTGCTGAACACAAAGGTTCAGAGTTTAAAAGACTACAACTACATTTGGATTATAGAAATTGAAGATACACAGAAGGATTGAAATATAACAGAGGGAAGTATCATTCAAATATCAAAAAACTGCATTAAAACAAAAGTGCATGTCAGTGAATGCGTCAAACGCCAGAAAACAACTGAGAAGTGAAGCTGAATCTGCCTCAGTTTTTGAGTCGTGACTGACACACTTGCAAGAGTAAAAGCAGAGGCACAAACCGGTTTCCCAACATCAGGGCTTCTTATTCCCCGGTGTTGCCATTAGCAAAGCAACATTACATATGACTTTATGAGCCTGTGCTGTCAGTACATGATCCTGGGCATACTTTACAAAGAAAGGGCTCAATAAGGACACTCACCAGAGGACCAAAAGAAGAGTTTGAGTTTGATACGACAGTAAATGTGAAAAGGAAGCGGAGTTAATGCTGTGTAAATATAATTTAAGATCAGTTCGGCTTCATAAGTTGAGATGAATTCAACAATTTCAGAAGACGACAAGAAGAAGAGAAAGAAACAGAAGCAATCGCTTTCTGCAAAGAGAAACTGTTTCCATGCAAGCCAGCTGGAGAAAAAGTGTATACCCTCTTAAAAAACACCACAATAAATGGACAGACATGGAACCTGGCGGCTGGCATTTTGCTTCATTATGTTTTAACGGAGGCACAGAGCCGATGAGTTTTTGTAATAAAGGTTCACTCTTACCTAGTGTCGCAGGAGCGTCTTGTCCTCAAAGGCCACCGCCGATTCACCAACAGTAGGGATGATCAAGGGAGCATCTTGAGCAACCTGTTTGGATCATACTTGAGTCAGTTTTGGTTATATTTTGGTCGTTATGCAGTCTGATCTGACATTTATATAATCACACTGAATGGCAGCCTCTAAGGTACTTCTGTTGAAACCTCGACATCACACAGAAAAATATTTGTCTTTCTATTCAGAGTACTTGGAACTTAACTTGGTCTTTTTTTTTCCTACTAGTTATAATTCTGAAAGACAAAGTTGACTCTAAGTTCATTATTCACTGAAGCCATCAAAGAAATGATCTGAAAGTTTCAGCCAAGGCCTTAAAAAGCCCCCTGTGGGATTTTCTTTTCTTTTTTTTTTGTACTGCTAATGATGCCATTAAGCAATATTTTAATAGGTCAGTCAGCACTTTGTTTCTATTTAATGCTGCACCAGGTAGGCAGACACACTTGGGCATGCAGGAGTGTGTGTGTGAGAGAGAGAGAGAGAGAGAGAGAGATGTGATGCACAGTCGTGTCATTTGAAGTCAGCAGTAATGTAAATATATAATGTCTCTCTGCTGCATGATGTGTCAGTGTCTTCTTCTGTGCGTGCATGCTGGGTGGTGATATGCCATGAAACAGCAATGAAGCAGCAGAATGTCCTGAGCTCTGGTTTTTGTAGGCAATTCTTACCACATACTTTACTGCAGTGCTCTGGGCTGCAGGTGATCTATCATGCAATGATGAGTCGAGCAAAAGGGGCTCAAATGATATATGCTCCTCCCGTAGCCCTCATCATAACAGCACCATTAAGATGCTACATGTCACAGAGGGTGACCATGGGCCTTTTTTCTGTTTAAGTGCCTGGCTAGCAGTCACTGCTGGTATTTTCAATCTTGCTGCAATGAGGGGCCCGTGGGTATTTGAACACATTAGTGCTTTAGAGGGGTAGCTTTAAGCCGTTACCATGCTACTGTGTTTGAACTCAGCAGAAAGAGGTGAAGGTATTTCTTTTTGTAGTCATTACTGGATCCCTTTGCTTTATAGATATGGTAATATTTCTGAACCATGCTGAGCTGTGATGGCTTCAAAGAGATACGATGGAGCGTCAGGGTCAGCTATAATACACTCTCAGGTAGAGGGTTTAATGCCAGAGCTTAGGATATAAAACACTATTTTGCATTGGTCTTATTTAAAGACTTGCTTTCACGTATTGTAGTGCTGTCATTCACAGGAACAGATAGAGATTTACAAGTCTTATCCGGGGTGACTTACAATCACTGACTAGTTCGTTTAGTGCCTGAACTGCAGAAAGGAAAGGCTGCAGGGCTTGTAACTTCTGCCCACAAGGTGCTATTTTTATTTTATCCCTTTTAGAGAATTAATGGAGAAATAATGACAAGGCTTTATGAGGTATGACAAAGTGATGTTCCCTCTGTTGTCGAATAAGGTTTTGCAGTTTTAAAGATGGAAGGGAGAAAACTAAAAGAACATGCTTATGTAAACCGTGTGTGTGTTGTGTTCTGGGTTATACTGACCAGTCAGGAAAACATTACGTAGCTTCTGGTTCTTCAATTTGGCCGTTCTGTGTTCATAGACAAAAAATACAAGAATCCATGAGCTCAGTCTGCAGCAGCTTTTTTTTTAAGTAGGGGACAGTAGGGTAAGATGAGCCACTTTGCATATATCGGATCACTACATCAAGTCAATCCTAGTTTTGTCTCTAACTAGTGTATCTGCATATATTTCAAGATGTTGTTCATCCCTACAAACCAACAGAGTGAGTGTAAAGAGAACTGTCTTGATAATGTAGCATGCCAGAACAAAGTGTCCTCCTTTGGTCAACTAACCCCGTCTATAGGGTAAGTTGACCATGTTGTAGCTCATTGATACCACAATTGATGTATAAAACAAATTTAAAATGATCTTTTTGATCTGAACACAATTCTAATAAAACTTATGACAGACTAAATTCGCTTTCAAGGGTGAAATATGTTTTTTTGGAAATAAATGTCACCCATGTGCTTCTAACCTTTCACAGACTCAATGAATTGATGCCCATCTCCTAGATATTTGGTCACAGGATCAATTTCTTTTACCATTTACAAGCAACAGGGGGGTGGCTCAACTTACCCCACTCTCCCCTATTTGTTACATGACATAAATATACAACAGTAAAAGAAGTAAATAAATTGTAACCATGAAATGCCGATGAAATAAACAATTATGACACCATATTCTTAACGATTTGAAGCCAAAAACACAGTATCTTTTGTAGCTATTTAACAATGAAATGCACACTTAAATAGCAAGTACACTTTTTTTTGCATTTAAGCCTATTTTAACAGCTCTGAACACAACCGATATAAAAGTAGAGCCCCCTCAACACCAGATGTCAAATTTTAACAAAATATAATTATTAAAACACAGAAAAATGTCTGTATACCTGTATTTATAGACAAAAAATACAAGAATCCATGAGCTCGGTGTGTTTGTCGTCTGCAGCGAACATCTCCCTGATAAAAGAGCAAAGGTGTGTTAAAACCGGAGCCTCCCACCTAGCATAAAAGCAACTGTATCCCGCTAGCATTAATGGCTACTTTCAGAACGAAACTCGATATAACTTCAGTTAGAAAATTCACAAAGTTACAAAACTGACACAGAATAAACCAGACCTTATACAAAACTTAATGCAGCAGTTTTAAGGTATGTAAATTAAAAGTTAAATCGTTTAGAAACTTTTATCGGCGGAGCATTTCTGAATATTAACCTCCGATTTTGCTAGTGACAGCGTTGATAGGAGCGCGCACGTAACCGCCGCACCTGTGACGATGCTACGTTCGGGTTACCCCGGAAATCAGAAGTCCGAGCCGAAAATGACGTCACACCCGAGTTACGAGCGTTTCAGTAACCAAGGCTGTCTCTCATTTCAGAGACCGCATCGGGATAAGCGCGCTTAACGGCGCTTAGCTGAGTGCCCTGCCGTTTTGTGCCGTTATGTGCCGTTTTGCGCCGTTATGTACCCTTCCTGTGTCCCATTTCAGAGACCGCAACCGTCGAACGGCGCATCTGAAGCGTGCGTGAGGTCATCACGCGGCACGAACGGTGTCCCTTTTGACACAAAATACTAAGCGCGCTTCAAATTCGGTCTCTAAACCACACTACCCCCGCCTCTTTTTCAAGCGTGCATATGTGTATACATATGAAGACAAGCGAGATCAGCCTCTCCCGGTGGTGCAGTGTGGTAGATGTCTAACACCCTAATGTGAGCAATGTGTTCTGGTTGAAGACCGGTTCCCGGTTCGAAACCCGCTCAGCCCAGGGGTGTGGGGTTACTATTATGTAATATAATAATTATTTTTGCGCTTTAGTAACAATAAAATGGGTACACAGTTGGTTTCCCACCATGTGCACTATCAGAAACAATAAAATCCACCATCCCCCCTGATTTTTCTTTTTCACAACTTGAATATTGAATATAACACAAGCGCTAAAATAACTCCTGATTATGCTTTTTTCCAACCAGGTAACTGAAGCGCTAGGAACTCGGGTGTGATGTCATTTACAGCTCCGACACCTGACTTCCGAGGTAACTCCAACGCAGCATAAGTTACCACTTATACACACACTAAGTCTCTACGGGCAGGAGAGAAGAAAATAACTTGAAATGTAAAATAGGACCAGAAATGAGTGTTTTGGTGAAATTCACAAGCAGCAAATTTATCATCTGCTACACTTAGGTTCACTGAAATACATGAAAACCACCTTTTAGCTCAACAACATCTGACTGCGGCGCTGCGTCTTCTTCTGTGGTGCATTCAAGTGAATCTGACAGAGCATGATTACGTTCAGACTTGTCTCTTAACTCCTCTCAATCGCCGAGGAATCAGTCCGAGGTTGACAAGTCCATGTTGTAGAGATGATTGACGGCTGAGAGCAGCCAGTGGGCGGGGTAAACACACTCCGAACACCTTTTTTTCTTTGATTCTGATACCAAGTTTTACATACTCGCTGTGTGGTTACATCTTTTCTCCACTTTAAACATACTTTTTTAAACAATTTGTAATTTTCTCAATCTTTAAAACTTTCCTCAAACCATTAATTCAGTGAAAAACTTTCCACTGTGAGTAAAGTTGTTGTGTTGCACTTTAATATAACCCCTTTTGCTCCTAAATACACCATTTATCAGCTCCAACAGGGAATAATAAGGCGAGAACAGGGGGAATTCATGAGACGCATTTGAGGCAGAGCTTCTCAGTTGGGAGCCAATAGTCGTTGTAATTGAGTGTAACCTAAATGGAGTCAGACAAAGAGCTAATGGTTGTTTGTTTCTTTTGTTGGAACATAACACCAAAGCCAAATATCCTCTATTTTAACAAGCTCATCGTTTGATTGTTTTTTAGACATCAAGGCCATATCTCTATCTCTTAATGTCTGAATTTAATGCTTCAGGTCTTCTTTATAAGGTAACCTTGGGGGTAACACAATTAAACTGTCCATTATGACAACTTTCTTGGTTTTCCATCGTCATAATCCACAACAAAATTATACTTAATTTCACTTCATTTCAAACAGTATACATTCAAAGTGCTATTACAAACTCAGTCATGCAGGCCTCTGTTTCTCTGTCTCCCTTCACCTCACCCCTTTGGCCTTTAGAAGATCGTCCTGTTCATTCTTTCAGGTATAAAAACTTCCACTTAGTTTTAGATGTGGATGGATAAGAAATGTTTCTTTAAAGATCAGCGGTCAATGCTAATGTGATCACATCAATCAATGCCTTAGACCTGTCAATATCTCAGGGACACCATGAGGGGGCATCTTAAAACTTGGTAGAAAGGTTTTCATAAACGTCCAAATAAACTGTATAAAGTTTGGCGGTCTAATAACGAAGGTTGAGGACGTTCTTTCTTGTCCCGGTTGTTTTCATCGTTTTTCATTGGACCACTCAAATTTAGACGGGCAAACGAGGAGAAGGAGGAAGAAAAACAGAATAAAGGAGAAAACTAGAGATAAAGATATATATTTTTCTGGCTAGTTTTTAGAAGTTTGTGAGAGTTGTTTTTGTGAGAGATGGATTGCTGATATATCAGACGTATTTTTTTTTTTTAGTTATTTATCATTATTTTTTGTTTCTAATACAGAAGAGACATTATTTCTACTATTGTTTCAATTATTATTTTTTTAAATTGTCATAATAAAACATGGTGAGTAAACTTCTATAGATACTTTGGATGTATTGGGATTATACGGCATCTTCGTGTTAACTTTGAGTATCTCATTGCTGGGCCGGGGGTCCTGGTTTTAGGTAATCATAATGTGATCATCCTACCATATGTGGCACCTCAGCATAGATCAGTTTTTGTTCAAAGGTCATTTAGACAGAGCTACAAAGAAATTAGCTGATTTATTTTCTTTTCATCAGAGACTATATATCTGTTTTTTTGTCCTCTCTGGAAACATGGGTGGGTGCTGACTGAATCTGAGCTAGCCTGTAGAGACATATAACCATTAGGGAGTAAATCTCATTGAAAATCGACCCATAAATATTTGTTCTTTACGGAGCATCTTCCATTTGTGCTGAACATTACTGTATCACAGCTGATTACTGTGTTGTTTACCCGCCTCTCCAGTCTGATGCAAATCCCCCGCCCCCCTTGAAATGTGTCTTTCCTCTCGGTGGCAGCGATACAGTTCTTGTTCTTTGCGGGTTTATTTGTTCTTCTGATGCATTCACCCGAGCATACGTACAGTAGAGCTGTCACCACAGAACACCAGCTGGAAAATGTGGATGTTATTCATATAGCGCAGATGGCAAGGCATAAAACGCCGCCGCTCTTACTTAATGAATGTTGGCAGTTATAAATGACTCCATTCTTCACATTTTCATCCAAGTGGAAGTGTGTCAATATCCAGAGACGCTGATGTGTCACCAACTAGATGGGAAAATGGGAATAAAGATCCTGATTGAGGGCATCAAAGCGCTGCAAGATCCCTGTTATAAAAGTGCGTGATAACCTGGGTGGGGTTTACACCAACACCTACACTAATTACTACGTTCCCATGGCAGCACATTACAGGGTGGCCTTCATGAGTTGCTTCATCATGTACATTGATGAGGGTGAGGAAATATGTAGATAATGAATGGTCAAGGCACATGTGTTACATCTGTGTTTATTCCACCACCAAAACAGCCCCCACCTTCGAGAAATGTCTTTGTCGCTTCTTTGAAACCTAGGTCAGACGTCTGGTCCGTCCCTGTACGCGTGTCTTGTCAGGTACATAAAAGACTCCAGTCAGCACCACCTTGAAAAGATTCTCAAACACAATAGTTAACCAGCTAATTAGCCACAAAATAATTGAGCCTCAGGAACGAACTGTTTAGCTTTGATGACTTTGTTTGCTGACCTTTCACCCCTCTGCAGTGTCGCCGTTTCTTCCGTTGTGGTTACTCTTGGCTTAATGACAAGAAATATGTCTGGTAAACATCTCCCACCGGCTGTTTCCAACGTTTATACCCGTACTTGGTTACTTGGTTTTGGAGTTTTTTGGAGTTAGGACAAGTCAAGCTAATGTAGAGATAAGTCTGAATTTTTGAGATGTACACTCATATGTCTCTTTAAACTTTGAATTAGTATCTACTAACATCTTCATGGTGTTTCACGATTATTTACAGACAGAAACAAACTGAAAGTGAATTAACATGGCTCTCATTAACTGTATGTTCTTCAGTAATTTAATTAAACTCGTTCTCATCTGCAAAAAAAGTGGAAAACAAACCTGTCTGGATTGCCGGAAGACTTGTGTCGGCAGGATCTCAGACGAGGGGAAACTGGTGTTGGCCTTCTTAGGAGGTGCCGTTAAGATCCTTGTTTGCCCCTTTGGCCATTTTTCTTGGCACCAGAGGTGGCTGCAGAAGAAAGTCTTGTTCCCGGCCAGGTAGAATCATTAAAAGATCCTTCACATGGGCCATAATTCAGGGCAGGCCTTAATGAAAACACTCTGAAAATCACAAATTGTAGAAAAAACATCCAATTTATCTAAATCAAAAATGTCTGCTGGGTTCATAGCTGAGACTAAGGACTCAAAGATCCAGGATCACATGGAACAGGCAGACACGACACACAAAATGAACCAACACAGACAGAGACAGAGACACAAAATGCACTAAAAATAAACAGGAGAAAACTAAATGAACAGAACATATGACAGATATAGACACTGACCTTTTTGCACATTCAAAACTTTCCATTTTAAGTCAGTCAGAGAGATCTAATCACTTCAGTCACCTACAGACTTTAAATACTCAGAAACATGAAGACTTACTCTGCAAACTCTCTGGTTGTTGAAGGTCTTTTAATGACTGTTTATTGAGTACCGTTAGCGTCTTCAAAATACAGTGTTTGTAAGTTGTTTGTCGTCTGTTTACCGTGTAAATCAGCCTGATTATGTTCTCTGTGACAAGGTTTGCTCTACAGATTTATTTCCGCCTTAAGAAGTGGATAGACTCCTCCACCAACCAGGTTTAGGCGAGTTTATGAGCCACCAATTCCCCGGTGGTGATACATCTTTTTC